AGGGTTCTATAACCTCTCACAAAGAGAGACTTAGGAAGGACTCAGAAGGTGCTATTCAGGATGTAACTGTTGCAGACCTTGCGGCACAACATCGTTACTGCCTATATTCTCTGGTATATACTCTACCTCCCATGTTCACTGTATACATTTTGTCTCTACACAGTTGTTTACATATTGTCTAGCCCATTAGAATTTGAGCTCCTTGGGGGAAGGAACCATGTTTTTGCCTTTCTTTGTATCATTAGCACTTAGCATGATGTCTGACACATAGTAAGTGCTTAATAAATGGTTATCTTGATTGCCTGAGTGAGTGCTTCACCTTCAGGTCTTTAATAGCTTACAGAATAGTCATCTCTCTTCAACTCAGAAACATGGGTACCCAGAACATGGGTACCCAGAACAGCCATCCAGGGACCAATCTCCCCAAAGCTGCATTGTTCTGCCACATAGAGATATTGCTTGGCTCTCTTACTCTCCCCTCTGCCAACATAGTCAGTTCTGCAAAGCGAGGGCTGGTGTAAAAACACCAGCCAAGAAGCACGGGGATAGCTCTCCTTTTATAGGCTGGCAACAGGAAGCCTCCAAAGGGAAAAGCAAGTGATACTTTAATAGGTGATGGCAACAGCTCCTGCCTTTCTGCACCAACAGATCACTTCTCTGCTTTTCTGACTGCGAGAACACTTTGGAGCTGTGACCACAGGTTCCAATTTCCCCAAGTCAACAGGAGTTCCTAGCATTACCTCTTCTTTCTGCAGAAATGTCAGCTAGGATTATTGAAGAGAATTGGGATAGGAGTGGCTACCCAGAACATGCTAGGTTTGTTTGGGCTCCAACAGAGTGAATTTTGGAATTTGCCTACCTGGGGTAGAGGGAGGGTGAATTAAGCTGGCACTTGGCAAGAATGGATAAGAAACTACATTGATGAAACTAAGCCTGGAGTGATGACTTGGCCGACTAGTTTGTGAAAGGTGTAGGCAGATGAAGGAAAGTATTTTGATTCTCTAGCATGAAAAGTACTCCAGAGACCACAATGGAAAGGAAGAGAAGAGGAATACAGGGTCGAGGGAAGAGTAGCCTGAGCTGGAGAGGCAGTAGAGTGCGGGGAAAAGTCAATGCTAGAAAAATCTCAGCAGAAATTTAGATAGATTAAGAAAGGACCACTATTTTTCACTGAAGCAAGAAAGCCAAAAGAACAGAGGGTTTCACAGGTGGAAACTGGGCCTAACCAGATTGAAGCCAAAGCAGTCAAGGGGTCATGAAGACTAGGATCTGGGTAAACATCAGAAATGGCAGTAGAGATGTCTCCTAGATGGGCAAATTTTTCCAACTGAATCTCAATGAATTGTCGTCTTTTAAGAGGTAGCTCAAGACTTTCTAAGCAGACCCAGTAGGGAGTGGATTGTTCCATCCTTAAAGAAGCCTTGCCATTTGGGGTAGGCCTGAGCCTGGCGACATTGAAAAAGTTTAAGGGATGTAACTTCTGGGTAATTTAATCATTTTATCAATAAGGCTAGCATGTTTGTTAATTAAAAAAAAAAAGAGGTCAGTGACACTCTCAGACGGTAAAGACCTTGGGCTCACAGTTCTTATAAACTTGGAAGAGTAGGTGCTCTTAAGGGTGACAATCAACTGTGATTGGTTGACAATTAATGAGTGAATGAATGCTATAATGGGAAGTGGGCCATATCACAATGAGGGCTTGGGGTATGTGACTTGGATCATCCAAGTCTTGGTCAAAGCGACTTATCAATTTCCCTATCACCTCTCTGACAAAAGGGAAAATCCACATTTCCCCAGACCTGTCTGAGTAAACACAATTAGTGAGAAGCCTCCCATTAGCCTAAACTTAGAACTTCTTTTACTCTCTTAGTAAAAGATCTTAGCATGGGTAAGTCTTTGAGGAAGATTTCCCACACTAGTTGATTTCTGGATAAGAAGTAGAAATGGGGAAAAAACCTTGGTCTTAACACAATAATCAGTTATTAATACAAGAGAGAAATAATCATTTCTCTCACTCTTTATCTCTTTTGTCCCAAGAATCCCTAGCATCATATGATGAGGGCAATATACAGAAAGAGTTCTAAATTTTGGATTGGGAGGACCTGACTTCAAATCATGGTACCTTTCTAATATGGACTAGCTATGGCACCACTGACAAGTCACTTAGCCTCTCTGTGCCTCAGTTTCCTTACCTGTAAAATGGGTATTAAAAATAGCATCTACTCCACAGTGCTGTTGTGAGAGGATCAAATGAGATGGAATACGTGAAATGCTTTGCATAATGTAAATGTCAGTTCTCATGATATAAGTGACATCTCCCAAATTTAGAGTTTTTCTGTCAGACTCATCTTCCAGGGGTGGAATGAGATCACCAGTAACAGGGCACTCTCTTACTTGAGTCCCTAAGACTAAGTGACAATGAGTTGGGGCTATTTTTTCAATAAACTGTTTACACTTCAGGGGAACCATAGCATAGCCTTATTTGTACCTCTTCCTAGCTCTTTCTTTCTATCTTGAAAATGTGTTTTTGGGCAGTGTTAAGTGATACTCCCTCCTTCTTTCCCTGTCCCCACTCCCACCACCATGGCTTGAACAAACTACTGTGCTGTTGGCAACTCTGGGCAAGAGAATTGGGCAGAGCCCACCTGCACCCTGTCCCCACCCACTGAACTAAAGGCCAGCATTCTGTCCTCTGCCAGCCAGACAATGAAACCCATTCCCTCTGTAACATTTCAGGGTTGGCAGGGGCTCTAATATTAGCCAATGGGCACATAGTCACCCGCTGGCTCTCTTCCCTATGCTATTCCATCTGCTAGGTCAGGGGCATTATAGAAAGAAAACCGCTAACTTACTACAAAGGTCATCTGGTTCTTGGTGGCTGGGTATAGGAAACAGTAGGAAGAAGATTGCTATTATTGTGGGTGAGAAGAAAAGGAAAACCCTCCTCCCTCAATCTCCTACTCTAGCTCTGAATTTCTTGAAAACAAGGTACACCAACTTCCTGGGTCCTCCTGCAGATTCAAGAAAGAAGGAGGAGAGGGAGAAGAAAGTAAAGAGAATATGTAAAGCACTTACTATGGGCCAGGCACTGTGTTAAATAAGGGGATACAAATACAAGGAAGCAAACCTATCCCTGCCCTCCAGGTGTTTACATTCAGCTACATTCTAGCTCACGAGTGGGAAACCTGTGGCCTTGAGGCCACATGTGACTTTCTAGATCCTTGGGTCCTGCCTTTTGACTGAGTTCAAGTTTTACAGACAACTCCTTTTATTAAGGGGATTTGTTCGGTGAAGTTTGGTTTCAGTCAAAGGGCCGCACTTGAGGATCTAGAGGGCCACCTGTGGCCTCGAGGCCACAGGTTCCCCACCGCAGGTTCTGCCTCTCATTGTAAAACCCTTTCCCTTGACTACCACTCCCCGAACTCTCATCCCTGTCTGGCTCAGCCCATCCCTCCTTAGACAAACCATTTCATAGCATCCTCAGGAGCTTATTCTTCTCTTTTCCTTCTCTATGGTCAAAAAGCTCCCCTTTTACCTAGGTCTCTTCATTATAATACTCCTGATTTCTGATGCTCATGGAAACCCCTGCAAGATCTTGTATTCCTGGGAACCCTGTCCTCTTTAGGTTCCTCCTTACATGTCTCCTGACTGGATCATACAGAAAGAACAAAAGAGTTTAAGAGTAGACATTTGCAACTGGAAGGGGTCCTAGAAGTCATCTAATCCAATCTCCTTTATTTGGAAGAAACTAAGGCCCAAGATTATTAAGTGACTTGCCCAAGGTCACACAAGAAGAAAAGTAGCAAAGATGAAATTTGAACCCAAGTCTTCTGATTTTTCAAATCCAGAAGCCTGGAGTCAACCCAACTTTTGTTCCCCACTGTGACTTCCAGACTCTTCCTCTGTCACCATCACTCTGAAACCTCTCCTCTGAGGTTCACTCCAAGATATCTAGATCCTTGTCAGTGTTATCATCTGCCAGTCCTTGAGTTTCTCTTTCTTCTCTCCAATAGAGTTTGGTATCAGACTCCCACTTATTTTTCTCCCATCCTTATCCCTGCCCTTTTAATTAGGAAATATATCTCTATCTAAATCTATCTATCTATAGAGATCTATGTATACATATAGATATATATGTATAATATATATTTTATATACTTATGTCTGTCTGTCTATTTATCTATCTATCTATCTATCTACTTTCAGGTATCTTGGCCTCCTAGTTCATTAAACTCCTCAACTTCCATCACCTATAATTTCACTATCCCAGCCTAGCCACCCACAAGGAAGGCTTAGATCCCCCCATCACTTTCTACTTTGAATAACTTGGTTCCTTTTTGGCTCATGGCCCATTAGCTTCCACCATCTACCTCCTCCGCTCATACTTCTATAATACCAAATGCTACTAGACATTGAACTCCATCAATTCATGCTACTCTGCTGACTTGGCCCATTACAAATGTATGTCGGATGATTTCACATGAGCCTTCACTGCTGCACAACAATCAATTCTTACATTATTCCATGATCAACTTTCACGCTCCCAGCAGCAGCTAATCCAAACCTTCCCCTCTCTCTTGAAGTGCCCAATGTCACATCTTCCACCCTCTTTCTCAAGAAAATCATAAGAATGAGAAATCATGAGAAAATCAAAGTTATCCATAATAAGTTCCCTTATTGGTTTTACTCAACATTTCAAATCCATAAACACTTTCGTCCTTTTCCTCCTTTGCTTAAGTTATGCACAAAGAGATAGCCCTTCTCTTAGATAAGGTCAACCTTTCTACTTATTTCCTTGATTCCATTTCCTTTGACCTCTCCCAGGAAGTTGACCAATTAGCTATTTCCTTCCCCTCTTTCATCTTCAGTCACTCCCTATTTACTGGCTCCTGATGCCTCCAAATATGTACAGTGCTTCTCTATCCTTAACAAACTTTTACTTGAACTTACCATTTCCTCATGCTATGTTCACATATCTTTTCTTCCTTTTATTGCCTTACCCATCATTTTTGCCCGTTGACATCCTACACAGTCTTTGAGACCCATCTGATAAGTTGAAGCAGAAGTTATCAAGGCACACACATTAGTCAGCAGGACATAGGTAGACAAAGTGATATATATGTCAAGTTCAGGTCAGGCAATGGCCAGAAGGCTGGAAAAACAGATAGCAAAATTAGATGACAATTAGGTATGGCAAGTGAATATACTTGGAACCATTAAGCATTTATTAGGCGCTTACTACATGCAAGGCACTACACTGGGTGTTGGGGATGAAAAGAAAAACAAGACATTTCTCATGCTCAGGACCTTAAATGCTACTGAACAGCTCTATTAGGGAGTAATTGTCTGATGGAGGTTGCTGGCTGACGGCTGGCTTTTATCCTCAAAGACCATTAGTTAGATGAGATTCTTAGGTGATACTGCTCACCCAATTATGGCAGGACTTTCCACAATGGGTGGTTGTTTTTTTAGGTTTTTGAGACTGAATATAAAGAAATAAGTTTTTCCCGCTTTTGTTCTTGTATCAGAATAATACATTACATGATATCAGAAGTTTCTCCTCTCTAATACACATTTTTGTTGTTTGGTGTTTTTCATTTGCGTCCAACTCTTTGAGACCCCTTTTGGGGGTTTTCATGGCAAAGGTACTGGAATGGTTTGTCATTTCCTTCTCCAGCTCATTTTACAGATGAGGAAACTGAAGCAAACAGGGTTAAGTGACTTGTCCAGGGTCACACAGCTAGTGAGTATTTGAACTCAGGAAGAGGAGTCTTCCTGACTCTAGGGCCAGCACTCTATGCATTATGCCATCTAGTTGTCCCCCTGATACACATACATATCCACTATTGAGGTAGTCCTGACTCAGATTAGTACACTGTAAATTGAGATTCAATATCAGGACGAAATAAGGCATGTGTAGTTCACTCAACAGTAGTCAACAAAAATACTCTAACATTTATCTTGGGTAGATTCTATTCCCCGCCTCTCACCCCCACATCACCCTTATCTCCACATGGAAACATATCTGGTCAGCAACAGAGGATAAGGTGAAAGGTCTTGGGACACTTGCCATGTCTGAAGAGCCCAAATCAACACGGGTTGGCAGTTCAAGATCCATGACTCTATGATTCCCGTGGTTCATATATTCTTACCGAAGGTAGGAGAGAAGACTATAATACAACATATATGAGATTTGAATTCAAACATATATCATTTGCATAATGAATTTTCCTTATGTTGAAGTAAAGTTTAGCTATGCTTGTGACCAAAAAATATAGAATGAAATAGAGTGGACAGGATGAAACAGTGGAGGATTATCAGAAAAAAGAGTAGGGGGAAAAAACCCAGACCTGGGTGTCTTTGATGGAGACACAGTCTCCCTTTTATTCCTGGGTAGTGATAACTTGGATTAAGAACTTAACCTAAAATCCATCCAACGAAAAGTCGAAGACTGTTGTGCTGTGATTATTCTAGGGCAAGTAGTCTCTATAGTGCCCATCACGCCAAAATGCAAGTTTGAACCCGAGCAAAATTTATCTATTACATATTTTTAACTGGAATTTCTGCAAGTTCAAACACAACTCACCTTTCCCCCTAGTTTGTGGATGATGGAAATTTATGATTCCCATCTCTCAGCTCTCAGCTCTCCACTTCCCCCCATGTTGATCCCAACAACCCATAATTCCATGTTGTTTTATTTGTCTGAGGTTCAAATCTTCAACCTCACAACTGGAGAGAAAGGATATGTTTTCCTTTATGGAGTGTGGTCTGGCACTTAGGGCTTGGCTTGGAGACCAATAAGTCCTGTGGGTTCTGAACTGTGGTCAGCTACTTAATTCTAAAACCTTATTTTAGTCAAGAGCTTTACCCTCTTCTACCACCATGAGTTGTTCCCACCCCCCCCCCATTTTTCAGTGCTGCCAGGAAAAAGGAAAGCGTAAGAATTGTACACTTGTCCATTTCCCTGATGCTCATCCTCTTTGTACTCCAGGGAGAGGGAGAGAGGTCTTTGTTCCACTTCTCATCTAGTTTTTTTTACTTCCTGAGGATTCTGATGAAATTAAAATCAGCTGAAACCTTTGCAAACAGTACAGATTCATTCTTCCTGGGACTTATGGTTGATCAATTAATTAAGCAAGCATCTATTATGTACTACTATGCTAAGTGCTAGGGATTCAAAGACTGAAATGAAATAGTCCTTGCCTTCAAGAAGTATGCATTCTGCTGGGAGACATACACATGTACACAAAATAAGTATAGCACTAGGAAAACTGAGGTAAGAGTAAGCATTCTCACCTTGGGAGAGGACAGTGAAATCAGAGAACACTTCAGAGGAGGTGATATCTGAGCAGAATGAATTCACCTTGAAGAAAGAAAAGGAGCCTAAATAGTAGAGATATGTTAAAAAAAAAATTCTCCTTCCTGAGCTATTTTGTGTTTATTTGTTTTATATTTATTCTGCATTTACTTACATGGAATGTCCTAAAACTCTCAGTGCATTTTCAATTTATTAAAGAGCTATTTAAACTATTAAAGATTAAAATTGCACTAAGACTAATCACTAAGTGTATTTACTTCTTTTCTGTTAGAATGTGAAGTTCTTGCAAGTAGGAATGTTTCGTTCATTGTATTTGTATCCCCAGTGCCTAATTATAGAATGTGTTCCAGGCAGGGAAAAATGGTTTATGTGAATGAACTCACGCTGACTTTGGAAAATGACTAATTGTCCACTTTATATGGAACATAAAACTCATGAAGGGAAGGGGTAGAAATCAGGCTGAAAGGTAGGTTAGAGTCAGGTGGTTAGGCTAAGGAATTGGCATTTTATCTTATATGCAATGTTAAATAGTGAAAGATTTTTAAGCAAACAAGTGACATGGTCATACCAATGCCTTACAAAGATTTTTTTGATAGTTGTATGAAGGATGGAGTCGGGGAGAGACTGGAAACAGGGAGGCCAATTAAGGGGATATTACAGAGGACCTGACAAGATATGATGAGGACCTCAACCTGGAAAGTGGTTCTAAGAAAGTAGGGGACAGACCTTAGAAAATGACCTCAGTCCAAATCATCCCCTTAAATCTTCCCAACTCTGCCAACACAGGATGCATTAACTGGATTAAAAAAATATACTGCCATCAAAGCATGCTATTTTCACTTTTTTTTCTTTCTCATAGTTTTTCCCCTTTGTTCTGATTCTTCTTTCACAACATGACTAATGGGGAAATGTGTTTAATATGGGGAGCAGAGGAGGGGAGGGAGGGAGAAAAAATTTGGAACAGAATCTTATAAAATCAAATGCTGAAAACTATCTTTACACGTAATTGGAAAAAAAATTAAATGCTATTAAGTGGGGAAAATATGGCCAACATGGAAATATGTTTGGATGATTTCACATGTATATGTGCTATCATATTTTTTACCTTCACAATGGGTGGGGGAGGGGTAGGAGAGGGGAAGAGAATTCAGAATTCAAATAAAAAAATGAATGCTAAAAAATAAATTTTATAAACTAAGTACTCAAAAAAAGAAAGAAATATATTGCCAAGAATCTGGGAAGAGTCTTAACTTAGGGGGATTAAACTCTCAGTTAAAGCATTATTAAGATATTACAATTGGCTTCCTCTCACCCATATTTCACTTAGAGGGACTAATATCCTTAGTTATATACTCTGTTAAAGACCAGAAAAAATAAACACTCAGTTTTTTTCCCCCAGACCTGGTCATTCTCTGATAAGCTTTCTCAGAACTGGCCACAGATGATCCTTCTCCTGTCTGTCACTCACATCCCCTTTTTCATAATCTTCCAGGGGCCTTTCATACTAGAAACTTCCATTTCCCATGCCACAATCCCAGTTGGCACCTCCCTGCCCAAGGTATTAGGAATGGGAAACAAATCAGACTTGCTTGAACAAGACCCCACCACTCCTTAAAATACCTGTCTCTCTTCAGTCTCCCCAAGCTCCCCAATGCACAGAGAAATAACAGGAGTAGCAAGAGTTTGTTGCCAGGATATGCCAAATCCTGGAGGCAACTGCTTATGAGATGCCCTCCTTCAGCTTTGGCCTGAAGGCCACCATTCCCGTGGCTCTCTGGATACAGTCCTGGGAGCGTCTCTGTCCGGCTTTGGAAGTATTAGCTGCTGCCTTGGTTTGATGGGTCAATTCTGACCTCATCTCCTTTTCTCATAATCCCTACTGTTGCTTCATGTGCCCATGTTAAACCATGTGACATATTCCCTTAAATATACTAATTTAGAAGTCTATCATTCTCAGCAAACAACTACTTGGAATAGTAGATAGAGAACCAAAATCTTGGAATTAGGAAGATTTGACTTCAAGTGCTGACTGACACATTTTGCCTATTTGACTCACAACTCTAAGACTATAAATTGTGGAAAAGTTGCTGATCCATTTTGTAGAGGGAGCACCTTGCCAGGAGCTACCCACATTGATGAAATTCCAGGTCTGATTAAAAAAAAAAGTTTCTGGTATTACTTGGCTCAGCTAATTCTTCAGAGGCGTCTTTTAAATCTATGGCCCATCTCACACTCAAATAAGGAGTTTATTACTTCTATAACATCAACTTCCCTCCCCTTTGTTTAGAGATACTGTTGCTATATCTTTAAGACACTTTGGGAATCTTGAACAGAAGCACTTTAATGGTAATTGAGGAGTCTGGTAGCTTATGCTTAAAACGTTGTTGTCGTGGCTGAAGACAGACTGTATGAGCTACAGGGAGAAAAAGAATGAAGGGAACTTCTTTACTGAGAGAACTGTTTTAACATTTTTCTTGTGAAGAAATTTTATTATAAAGGGAATTTTTGAAATATTGGCTGCTTTCCTGAAAATGCTGAATGGTGGGACTGGATTTCTGAAGAATTGTAGCAAAGTCATGGGTTAAAATGACAAGAGGTGATCTTTCTCATAGAAAATGATTATTTGTGCCTTTTAAAAAATTATTTGTTATACGGGGCAGCTAGGTAGCACAGTGGATAGAGCACTGGCCCTGGATTCAGGAGGACCTGAGTTCAAATTCTGCCTTAGACACATAACACTTAATAGCTGTGTGACCCTGGGCAAGTCACTTAACCCCGTTGCCTAGTCAAAAGAAGAAAAGAAAAAAAACAAAAAAAATATTTGTTATACTGTTAACAAATCATACAGCCAGTAGCTTTGTTTAGCTTAAGTCCAAGAAATTAGGGGTATGTGCATATTTATTTATTATATTATATTATATCATATTATATTATTTATATTATATTATATTATATTATTATATTATATTATATTATATTATATTATATTATATTATATTATATTATATTATATTATATTATATTATATTATATTATATTATATTATTGTACATTATATTATATTATATTATATTATATTATATTATATTATATTATATTATTATATTATATTATATTATATTATATTATATTATATTATATTATTTATATTATATTATTGTATATTATTGTATATTATATTATTGTATATTATTGTATATTATACTATATTATATTATTGTGTATTATACTATATTATACTATATTATATTATTGTATATTATAGTATGGTATAGCATAGTATATTATAGTATAGTATAGCATATTATAGTATAGTATAGTATATTTTATTTTATTATATCACATCTTAGCATGTTTATATGATATGATATATTATACAGAGAAACGTAACCTCTTATAGGAAAATAATCTTCTCTAGTTAATTAAATATTATTTAACATATTAGATTAATTAAATTAATGCATCAATAGATATATAAATTTCATGTGCTAATATCATATATTATAATGTAATAATATATAATAAAGGATAGTATGTAAATAATAAATTTAATGTAATAAGTAATTAGGTGGCATCGTGGATAGAGTACTAAGCCTGGAGTCAAGAAAACCTAAGTTCATATTTGGCCTCATCCACTTACACTTGACTCTGGGCAAATCACTTAACCTCTGTAAGCCTCAGTTTCCACAACTATAAAATGGACATAACAATAGCACCTATTTCCTAGAGTTGTTGTGAGGATCAATGAGATCCTCACAATGAGATCTGTAAAGTACTTAGCCTGGTGCCTAGTACTTAGAAGGTATTGAATAAATGTCCATTTCCTGCCTTCCTTTAAGTCAGACCTACACAACTTGGCAGTAGGTAGGGGCCAAAATTAAAATAGGCTAAACTTCATGCTGCAGATAGGTTTCTAGAGGCTCACTTTCCAAGTAAAAGTATAATTAATGATTAAACTATTTTGCACATAAACTATATTTTTAAAAAAAGGAAATTTCAATTAACAGTAATTAATTACACTTATTACTTAAGATTTTTATTTATCATGAAATCACATTAATGTTAAAAAAAATTACTTTGCTGAGTGGGACGTAATCCAGAAACTGCAATCAGCAAACACTTCTTTATGTAAAGTCACCTTTATAAAAGACTTCCCAGCAGCAGCAATTTCTTTAGAAATCTGAAAAATAACCTTAGTAGCTGCCTCATTCTCTGAGTTACTTTCTTGAAAAACTGTTGTCCCCCACTGAGATTTTTCAACAATTTGGATGTTTAATTTGTTTTTCATTGGTGTCCAATTTGCTTGAGTCAGAATGTTTTGATTCAAAATAGTGACGAAGACTGCATTCCTTCAGAATGGCTATTACTTTTTTACAAACAAGGAAGAATCTTTTAATTAATTAACTAATTTTTAGTTTTCAACACTAGCTTTTATAAGATTTTGAGTTCTAAATTTTTCCCCTCTTTCCCCTCCCCCCTTCCTAAGATAGCATGCAATCTGATATAGGCTATACATGTACAATCATCCTAAACATATTTCCACACTAATCATGTTGTAAAAAAAGATTCAGAACAAAAGGGAAAAACCATGAAAAAGAAAAAACAAAAAACAACAAAAGAAAGAGAAAATAGTATGCTTCGATCTGCATTCAGACTCCATAATTCTTTTTCTGAATATGGATAGTATGTTTTCATCATGAGTCTTTTGGAATTGTCTTAGATCATTGCACTGCTCAGAAGACCTAAGTCTAAGAAAGTCTGGCATTGCATAATGTCGCTGTTACTGTGTACAGTGTTCTTCTGGTTCTGTTAACTTCACTCAGCATCAGTCCATACAAGTCTTTTCAGGTTTTTCTGAAGTCCACCTACTCACCATTTCTTATGGAACAATAGTGTTCTATTACATTCATATACCACAACTTGTTCAACCATTCCCCAACTGATGGGTATCCTCTCCCATTTTTCCAATTTTCCCACATCTTCTCCAACATTTATCATTTTCCTGTTTTGTCATGTTAGCCAAACTGATAGGTGTGATGTGGTACCTCAGAGTTGTTTTAATTTGTCTTTCTCTAATCAGTAGTGATTTTGAATTGGAACACTAATGCATTGTTGGTGGAGTTGTGAATTGATCCAACCATTTTGGAGAGCAATTTGGAACTATGCCCAAAGGACTATGAAAATGTGCATACACTTTGACCCAGCAATAGCACCTCTAGGGCTGTATCCCAAAGAGATCATAAAAATGGGAAAGGGACCCACGTGTACAAAAATATTTATAGCAGCTCTTTCTGTGGTGACAAAGAATTGGAAACTGAGAGGATGCCCATCAATTGGGGAATGGCTGAACAAGCTGTGGTATATGAATGTAATGGAATACTATTGTGCTATAAAAAATGGTGAGCAGGCAGACTTCAGAAAAACCTGGAAAGATTTGTATGGACTGATGCTGAATGAAGTGAGCAGAACGTGGAGAACATTGTACACAGTAACAGCCACCTTGTGCAATGACTAACTTTGATAGACTTAGCTTTTCTCAGAATTGCAAAGATCTAAGACATCTCCAAAAGTCTCATGATGGAAAATGCTATACACATCCAGAGAAAGAACTATGGAGTTCGGATGCAGATCAAAGCATACTATTTGCTCTTTTTTTTCCTTCTGTTTTGTTTTGTTTCTTCTTTCTTGTGGTTCCTCCTATTGGTTCTAATTTTTCTTTACAACATAACTAATGTGAAAAGATGTTAAATAAGAATGTATATATACAGCCTATATCAAAGTGCATGCCATCTTGGGGAGGGAAGTGGGGAAAGAGGGGGAGAAAATTTAAAACTCAAAAACTTATGGAAGTGATTGTTGAAAACCAAACATAAATTAATTATAAAAAATTGTGATTTAGAGCATTTTTTCATATGACTATAGATAACTTTAGTTTCTTCAGCCAAAAACTGCCTGCTCATATCCTTTGACCATTTATCAAATGGAGAATGATATGTATTCTTATAGATTTGACTCAGTTCTCCATATATTTTAGAAATGAGGCCTTTATCAGAGACATTGGCTGTAAAAAATGTTTTCCAGCTTTCTTCTTCCCCTCTAATCTTGTTTGCATTGGCTCTGTTTGTGCAAAAACTTTTTAATTTAATGTAACAAAATCATCCATTTTGCATTTCATAATGTTCTCTATCTCTTATTTGGTTATAAATGCTTCCCTTCTCCATAGATCTTACAGGTAAGCTATTCCTTGCTGTCCTGATTTGCTTATAGTTTCTTCACCCTTTATGTCTAAATTATGTACCCATTTTGACTTTATCTTGATATAGGGTGTAAGATGTTGGTCTATGCCTAGTTTCTGCCATACTGTTTTCCAGTTTTCCCAGCAGTTTTTGTCAAATAGTGAGTTCTTATCCCAGAAGTGGGGGTCTTTGGGTTTATCAAACATTAGATTACTATAGTCATTGACTATTGTGTCTTATGTACTTAACCTATTCAGTGATCCACCACTCTATTTCTTAGCCAGTACCAAGTAGTTTTGATGATTGCTGCTTTATAATACAATTTAAGATCTGGGATAGCTAGGCCACCTTCCCTTGCATTTCTTTTCATCAATTCCCTTGATATTCTGGACCTTTTATTCTTCTGGATGAATTTTGTTATTATTTTTCCTAGCTCTATAAAATAATTATTTTGGTAGTTTGATTGTTATGGCAAGGCCCAATATTTTGTCTCTCATGTAAGTAAACAAGTATGTATTTGTCCACTCCAGATTAAACACTCTATGTTCTGATTCAATCT